AGGAGGAGGTCATTGTAACCAGTGAGTCTGTAGCTGTCTGTAGCTGGTGGATCAGAAGCACAGGTAACAGCCTAGGCTTGAGACTGTTGTGGGGATAGCACTCTCCTAGGACTGAACCCTTAACCTGTGAAATCTGATATGATCCTTGGGTAGGTAATGTCAGAATTGATTTAAGTGTGGGGGAACACCCCACTTTGGAATTGAGCCCAGGAGCCCTAAAATAGGAATTGATTTAAGCCTCATCTCTTCAAACATTGCAGTGGGTTGAAACATTGCACATATGTTGCGATGAGTTACATTTGGAGGTCTTGTAAGAAGTCATTGCCATTGAAATTCCCTGCTTCTCATTATACTATATTTTCATTAATTTGACTCTTTGTTGAATATTCTTTGCTTAATACTTGTGAATACCACTTGTTAGTATTGTTTTTGTCTGCTTTTGAGAAGGAATTTAAACTAAATTTAGAACAGCATTTCTACTAACTTATGAAATTCATTAACAGGTGTGATTTATTGGGTTTTTGTGCATTATTTCTTTAAAAAATTTTTTAGTGTTTTATTTATTTCTGAGAGAGAGAGAGAGAGAGGGAGAGAGAGAGAGAATGTGAGCAAGGGAGAGTCAGAGAGAGAGGGAGACACAGAATCTGAAACAGGCTCCAGGCTCTGAGCTAGCTGTCAGCACAGAGCCCGACGCAGGGCTCGAACCCATGAACTGCGAGATCATGACCTGAGCTGAACATCTGAGCTGAAGACCTGAGCTGAAGTCCTGAGCTGAAGTCGGATGCTTAACCGACTGAGCCACCCAGGTGCCCCTCTTGTACATTATTTTTATCTGAACTCTAGTATATCAATTTATCTTTTGGGGGGAAGATTATTTTTATTTTGGGTTGTTTGTTCACTTAATTACTGCATTTAAGTTTCCCCACAAACTGACCATCACCTCTAAAAATGGTGATTAATGGAGACAGTGTGCAGATTTTTAAAAGAATATTGAGATATGCAAAGCTGGATTTTGTAACAGGCTGATTAAGCAAAAAACTTTCATGTACTTGATTCCCCCAAAATTGCTTTAATTAAGAAATGTAAGGGGCACCTATTCTGTTCAGGCAGCTCAGATCCTGGAGCCTGTTTCCGATTCTGTGTCTCCCTCTCTCTCTGCCTCTCTCCCGCTCATGCTCTGTCTCTCTCTGTTTCAAAAATAAATAAAAACTATTTTAAAAAAAGAAATGTAAAAGGTTTTGGAGGTTCCTTTGGTAGTTTATAAAATACTAACATATGCATCTAAATGTTTATCTAATATAATTCTCCAGGTTGAGTTTCAGTATCTTACTTCATTATAATATAGAGTCCTCCACACTTGCTACAATGGCATAACAGAAAAAGATATGTAGGTGTGTGGTTTGATCACATTTGTCATTAAAAAATTTTTTGTAGTTATTTTTTTGTTTTGTTTTTTTTCTGGGTTTCTTAAAAGATTCTTAGTATTGGAGGGAAGAAAGAAGAAAGAAGTTTATATTGCCAGTGTTGGATATTGGTACATTCAGGAGAGAAAAAACAATCCTTACTCTAAAATATTATAGAATGTAGAGATAAATAAAAAAACCAGTTTACTCTTGCTTCTACTATATTAATTAACATAAGCTAGAAACAAGTTAATATCTTTGTTGGAAGAAATCTAAATTCTTTTAGTAAATTTGTCTGGGCTTTTAGTTCCTTTATAGAATAATGAATGATAATAGTAGTTAATTTATACTGACCACTTTCTATACCCCTGGCACTATTCTTAGAATTCTTTAATTCACAGAGTACTCCTATCTTACTCATATCATGTCTTTTTTTTTTTTTTTTTAAAGAAAGAGACAGAGCATGAGTGGGAAGGGGCAGAGAGAGAAGGAGACACAGAATCTGAAGCAGGTTCCAGGCTCTGAGCTGTCAGCACAGATCCCAACGAGGGGCTTGAACCCATAAACTATGAGATCATGACCTGAGCTGAAGTTAGACACTTAACTGACTGAGCCACCCAGGCACCCCTCATCTTTTTTTTATCTCCAAAATCACACAGCCAAAACCCCACCAGAATTTGAAAATCAAGCAACCTAGTTCCAGAACAAACCCTTCTCTGCTTTATGTTGTCTCCTTCTCAGAGTTCCATGCTAGCTCTAAATGTCTTTCTTTAAACTTTATTTCCTTGACTTTTTTCATTCACTTCTTACTCCAATTTCATTCATTTTCTCTTACACTGGCTTTGTCATTCTTTAAGGCAAAAGAGGATTATCATCCTAGCTCAGTAACAGACCAAATAAGTGACAGAACTGGTACTGAAGTCTAGGTTTTTAGACTCCACAACGTCCTACCTCATTTTAAGGTGTACAGAGAAGCAATAAAAAAATCAAGTGTCCTTTGCATGTCTGCCATGATTAATATATGCAGATGCTACAGATACGCAGTGAGTAGAGCAAGGCTTTGCTGCTCTTAAGGACTCAGCAGTTGACTTGTCACATTAACAATTATATTTGTATTAGAAGTGTGACAGGATTACTGAGGAGGAAGTGATATTCCTCATTCTCTTTTATCACAGGTCTCTACAGAATCATTGAGATCTTCGTTTATGACAGAGACCTGGTAATGGCTTAATATGTCTTTAATGAAATCAGCATGGTGCAGTGGGAAAAATACGGACAAATAGATTCAGGTCCTAAATTTCAAAGACAAAACTATAATAATAATGGAAGAAATTTTGGGAAATACTTCATGACCTTAAAGGTAGGGAAGGACTTTTTAATATTCTCAAAGCACAAAACTGCATGTGAACAACTGAATAAAAATGAATTAATTACTTATTTTATAAAAGGATCATAGATAAATTTCAAAGACACATGGTAGACCAAGAAAAGGTATTTGCAGTGTCTAAAAATCCCAAAGGATTATTAACTAGATTTTACAATGAATCCTGCAAATCAGCAGGAGTCAGGAAACTCAATAGAAAAAAGAAATAACATGAAATAACAAAATTCATGAAAGAAAAACAGATATATGCAGAAACATTTAACATCTCCAGTAATAATGTAAATAATGTTGAAAGTATAAATTATCTTTTTTACACTCAACAGTGGTAGCACTTGGATAATACCAAGTATTAAGGATCTGGACAAAAGGTAATGTTGGCTTTCTTTCATTTCTCAACTTAATTCCCTTTCTAAAGTCTTTGAACTTGTTTCCTTTCCCTGGAATGGTTTATCGCTATGGTATTTGCATGACTGGTTCTTTGATTAGGTCTCAGGTCAAATATAACCTCTTCATGCCTTCTCAGTCAAGACAAATTAACTCCAAACATATTTTAAAACAAAGATTTGTATTTGTTGTTATGTACTTATTCTTTTAATCAGAGCCTACAGCTTTCCTTTCAATAGCTTCCAAAATTCTGATTAATGAGAGAGTAACTAAGAATGCAAAATAAGAATTTTAAGAATTATGAAAAAAAAACGAGGTTTTCAGAGATGGATATCTTCTTATGTACTTAGGTATCATAAGTCACTCAAATTGGAGCAACAGAAATTAAAATTACTGATAGTGTCTATGTCAGTCTCTAAGATAAATAAATAGTGTGATTTGATAGATAGGAGATTAAGACTCATATTATTCTATGAGATGTTTCAATACCTAATATTTGAAGAGCCTTTAAATTTTCATACCTAATACAATGGATGAGCAGAGAAAAGCCAAAGCAATGTTTGGCTATATTTATTTATTTTTATCAGCGAGTTTTAAAATTTCCTATGAATTAATAGGATTGTGGCTATGGAAGAGACAAAGTGTGAGTGTAGAGTTAATCACTCCTTCCTTAACATTTTCTCCTTTGGCTTCTGGGACACCACTCTCTGCAGAGACCACACGTTCTTGCTTACTGGCTGCTTCTTCTGGTCTCCTTTGCTGTTTGCTCTTTCAGTTCTCAATTTTTATGCTAGAAGGCTTCAGGGCTTAGTCTTCCTCTCTTCTCTACCTACACTAACCTTCTAGATATTCTCATCTTGATCATAAGGGTTTAAATACCATTTGTATGCTGACAAATTCCAAATTTTTCTCCTTGACCCAGATTTCTTTCTTGAATTAAAGAATAGAAAAATGAACTCACTTGTAGATTTTACAACTTTTCCTAAAATAAAATACAAGGAGGTGAATGTGGTTGGATTTACCTCTGAGGACACTAAAGATCTCAGTATTGTTTTTTCCTGAATTCTAATGCACTTCCTGTACTCTAATGTACTTGTTTTTTCCTGAGCTTTAATGGTAATCATAAGTGACGATATGGCAGACATTGTTCCAACTATTTCTTGTCATTTAACTGATTTAATCCTATGGATCTGGAACTATTATTACTCCAATGTTATAGAGCAAGAAGCTGACCACAGAGAGATTAAACAGCTTAATTTCTAACACAGTTTTGCATAGCTGATAATAGGTAGAGATCCACATCACCTCTGTTGTTCAGCTTTTATGTTATTTCCACATTGTTATACGGATTTTCCCTTAAGCTCATTTCTTTCCACCTTTTCTTTCAGACCATATATAATCACAAAATGTACTGATTTTGGCTGCTAAGCCTAATAACCATTCCCAGAACACTGCTGAAATAAACATATTACTCCTTCCCTGCACCCTGTACCCTTCCCCATTGGACTTTTCACTTTCTAAACTTTAGGTCAAAAGAGAAGTCTCAAAGTTTTATAAATATCAATAAATAAAAAAAAAGAAAGTGCAGGAAAGGGTCTTAGAGTATCTGAGAACACTAGAACTGAAATTAAAAATACTTACCAGGGGAGGGGTGCCCGGATAAGGAACTGACTCTTGATTTCAGCTCAGGTCATGACCTCACAGTTCTTGAGAGGGAGCCCATCTTCCTGATGGGCTCTGCACTGACAGCATGAGCCTGCTTGGGTTTCTCTCTCTCCTCCCCTCTGCCCCCCCCCCCAAAAAATAAATAAATTTTAAAAATTACTTACCAGGAGAAGGACAAGTCATGCCTAAAAATAGAACAGTGAAAAAATTTACACAATAATAGTCCAGTTTAATAACACAATTCCTAATTTTTTTTTTAGAAAAACATTACAAATGTGTTTACTTTCTTAAGATAGAGCCCAAACTTCCATGTCAGAGATTTTTGGGCAAATGCACTGGGGTTTAATCATTCTCTGCTTTCATATGAGAATAGCTCTAATTCTTTGATTTCTGTGAATATTCAATTACAAACCCCATAAGGGGTTTGGGATAGGACATTCCATTGCAGTTTTTTACTCATCTCTGAGGTCTGAGCTCCTTTTAAGGAAATTGCTTACAAATATTTAATACATCTATTCTTCGTACTATTTATCTTTGTCATTTTCCAACTATATATTCATTTACCTTTGTCATTTTCCAACTATATCTTCATTTTTCTTTCTATCACTGAGTAGTTTTAGTATAAAATGTTAATTTTTGTTGTTTACAAGATGTTTTCAGCATTTCCAGGATGTTTCCCCCTATATATTAATGCTTTCTGTTCATTAGACTATATATAGTCTATATATATATAGTCTCTCTCTCTGTATATACTCTCCCATGACAAATTCCATAATATTGCAGCCCTATCAAGGTACACTTTGGAGAGGCTGAGGAAAAGGCCATCCTATTCTTTCTCTTTCTTTTCATTTTAAGAACGTTGAAACACCTATTCAAATGGACTCCTGGATACATGTATCTTGTTGCTCTCTTTTTGTTAGAAAATGGAAATTTTACTTTCTGGGAAATCAATAATGAAATGACAGAATTTCACATAATATGAAATCTGAAGGTCTGGTCAAGTAGAGCCATAGCCTCAGACTTGATGAGAGAGAGACTGGAATATATCAGAAATAAATAGGGAAAAAAAATCTTTATTTTAAATTCTGAAATTCTTTCTGAAGAAGAAAGCACAGATATGCAAGTAAGTGTGCATGCAATATATTTGTATTGGGTACACTGAATTAATAATCGCTTCTTCTAATATTATTCTATGAGGAACATATTAAGGGACATTTACATTACACCATTTTCCTGTAGTAGATGATGGGTATAAAATGTAGTTCTCAACAATCTTATCTGATGGCTCCTCAACTTGGTGGAACTCTGGAAGGTGTTGTGGGCTGAATGTTTGTGTCTTCCTAATTCATATGTTAAAGACCTAATCTTCAATGTGATGATATTTGGAGATGGGTCCCTTTGGGAGGTAATTAGGGTTGGATGAGGTGATAAAGGTAAGGCCCTCATGATAAGATTAGTGCCTTTATAAGAAGATACACTAGACTATGTTCTCTCTTTCTCTGCCTTGTGGTGACACAGTGAGAAGGCAATCATCTGCAAGCAGGGAAGTGAGCCCTTTTTGGAACTCCACCATGCTGGAGTTCCTGATCTTAGACTTCCTGCCTCTAGAACCAGGAGAAAATAAATTTCTGTTGTTTAAGTTATTAAGTCTAGGGTGTATTGCTGTGCAGCCCTATCTGACCAAGATAGGAGGCGTTGATAGAGGGAGATTATTTTGTCCTTCAATTTCTTCTCCACCCGTTTCTAGAGAAAACCTTTCTGGAACAGGAAGGATTCTCAGTGTATAAAATTGCCTTCCTTTATCTTCATTCCGTTTGTTTTCTTGAATTCTTTTTCATCCCTTCTACATCATTTATATCTCTAAGTTATCATCTTTCCATGCTAATGTCCAATCTTTTTTTAAAAAATATTTTTATTTATTTCTAGGAGAGAGAGAGACAGCGTGAGCAGGAGAGGGTCAGAGAAAGAGGGAGATACAGACTGAAATAGGCTCCAGGCTCTGAGCTGGCAGTCAGCACAGAGCCCCACGCGGGGCTCAAACCCACGAACCGCGAGATCATGACCTAAGCGAAAGTCGGACGCTTAACCGACTAAGCCACCCAGGCGCCCCTTTAATGTCCAATCTTAAATACATTTTCCAGAATGGAAAATATTGTTTGCCAGTGATATAAAAGTTTTTAGCTATTTCCCAAGGGCAATGTTACTTCATACTATTCTATCTATTAAAAATTGTCATTGGTATAGGAAAATTCTAAGTAATGATGGGGGGGGAAGAAGTATCAAGATTTTCAAAGACTGGAAATGATAACCCTCAGGCATTAGGAAGATTGGGAAATTTTACAGAGATGAAATAGCCAAGAAACCAATGAATTATAATGTTATTCCTTCTAAAATAGAAACACAAACGTTTCAATGTGATTCAGACATAGCATATTAGTTTGTATTGACAACCTTTCCATTCATTCAGGCATTTATTCATTTATCCCTCAGTAAATACTCATTTAGGATGTCCTGGGCACTGTGCAAGGAACTGAAGGTCCTCCAAGAAACAAAATCAGCACTGCTTATGTTCATAGAAATTATAGATCAAGGGCAAGAGCATTAGAAATAGAATCCTTTGAGAAGTACAGTGGTTTTTCCTTTGTTTCATGTAGATTTTAAAGAATGATCAAAGGACATAATCTCCTTTGTTTCATTTTCCTCTCAGCTGCTATGGCAAGGTGAGCAACTCTCTTTTTCTATGAGTGCAATTCATATTTTTGGTTTAAATTGGAAAACAAAACCCATTTCCTGAAAAGTGCATGAACTGTAAATGTATGTGTTAACAAATACAAAATAAACATACATATTAATATCATATAGATTAAGAAATATTATTTTGCCAGCATCCTCTCTTCTGACAACTATGTGTCATAACTCCTTTCCTCTACCCAGAGGTAATTGTTTTCATGTTTTTTTTTTTTAATGATATTCTTGCTTCTTAGTGTTATCACCTAAGTGAAACCCCTAAGCAAGCATAAGTTTGGTTTATTTGGGAAGTTCCATAAATTGAATCATACTAGATATATTCTTTTGTGTTATGCTTCCTATGAGCTACATTATGTCCTTATGATTCATCTGTATTGTTTTATTGCTTTAGAGAGTTTATTGTAGGCTTATATCACAGTATTTATTTATTTTATTATTAGTTGACATTTGGATTGTTTTCAGTTTTTGACTATTAGGACTAGTGCTGCTCTGAACATTTTTATGCATTTTCCACACATGCATGAATTTCTCTGTAGCATTTTTCTGAATGAATTGCTAGGTTGTAAAATATATGTATCTTCAACTTGACAATGACAAACCATCCTTCAAAATGGTTATAGCAATTTACATACTGTTAAAACTGTATGTGAGTTCCCATTGCTCCATCTCCTTGCTAGCACGTTGATCATACTTTAACATTTTTGCCAATCTGGTGAGTAGATACTTGCATTTTATTGTAATTTTAAATTGGCATTTTCTTGATTATTCATGAAATTAGACACATTTTAATATATTTATTGGCTTTTTTAAAACAATAAAATTATTGCATATTTCATTATTTTTGCAAAGTGTGCTATACATCTTAGTAATATAATTTGTTAAACATACACATATATATACACACACATGCACAGACACACAGCGCCAGGTGTTACCTATTTGCCCACATGCAATTGACTTAAAGCAATTAAGACTCATATCAGAAATGTATAAATATTTTAGTTTTCCGCATCCCTGCCAAAATTTAACATTATCCAATTTTCTAATTCTTGACTAGTCACTATCTTTAAAATGATATATTAATCCCCCCCTCTTTGGATGAATTTTTCTTAAGTTATTATTTTGAAATAGGTTTTGTTTTACATAAGAGTTATAAAGATATTACAGAGAGTGGATTTTACCCAGTTTCCCCTAATACTACTATCTTATTGTTCTTCTAGACCATAAATTGATCTTCTTTTTGAAATACCTATTGAAGAATATTTTTTTCTATTGGGTGGTCCATCTTCTGGTAATTGATTTGTAGGAATTCTTTTTTTTAAATTTTTTTATTTTTTTAATTTATTTTTAAAAATTTACATCTAAGTTAGTTAGCATATTGTGCAATAATGATTTCAGAAGTAGAATCCAGTGATTCATCCCCTACATATAACATCTGGTGGTTATCCCAACAAGTACCCTCCTTAATGTCTATCCACCATTTAGCCCATCCCTCCACCCCAAATCCATCCAGCAACCCTCAAGTTGCTCTCTGTATTTAAAAGTCTCTTGGGTTTTGTCCCCCTCCCTTTTTTATATTATTTTTGCTTCCTTTCCCTTATGTTCATATGTTTTGTATCTTTTTTTTTAATGTTTTATTTATTTTTAGGAGAGAGAGAGAGACAGCGTGAGCAGAGGAGGGTCAGAGAGAGAGAGGGAGTCACAGACTGAAACAGGCTCCAGGCTCTGAGCTGGCAGTCAGCACAGAGCCCGACGCGGGGCTCGAACCCACGAACCGCGAGATCATGACCTAAGCGAAAGTCGGACGCTTAACCGACTAAGCCACCCAGGTGCCCCCATATGTTTTGTATCTTAAATTACACATATGAGTGAAGTCCTATGATATTTGTCTTTCTCTGACTGACTAATTTTACTTAGCATATACACTCTAATTCCATCCATGGTGTTGCAAATGGCAACATTTCATTCTTTTTGATTGCCAAATAATCTTCCATTGTATATAAATATCACTTCTTTATCCATTGCACTCTTTCCATACTTTGGCTATTGTCAATACCACTGCTATAAACATTGGAGTGCATGTGCCCTTCAAAACAGCACTCCTGTCTCCTTTGGATAAATATCTAATAGTGCAATTTCTGGGATGTAGGGTAGTTCTAGTTTTAATATTTTGAGGAACTTCTATATAGTTTTTCAGAGTGGCTGCACCAGTTTGCATTCCCAACAGTGCAAAAGGGTTCCCCTTTCTCTACATCCTGGCCAATATCTGTTATTTCCTGAGTTGTCAATTTTAGCCATTCTGACAAGTGTGAGGGTGTATCTAATTGTGGTTTTGATTTGTCTTTCCCTTATGATGAGTGATGTTGAGCATTTCTTCATGTGTTTGTTAGGCATCTGGATGTCTTCTTTGGAGAAGTATCCATTCATGTCTTTTGCC